CAGCTGCAAAAGTGGTACATACATTTACATGGTAAAGGTCATTGTGCCCTCAAAATCCTTAAAACTACACATGGCTTAGAAAATGTTTTGACTAATGCAGTGTTTCTCAACCTTGCCAAATTTTAAGATGGGGGGACTTCAACTCCCATGCGGGCTGGGGATTTCTGGGAGTTGAAGTCCACCCATCTTAAAAGTTGTCAAGGTTGAGAAACACTGCATTAGTCAAAACATTTTCTAAGCCATGTTTAGTTTTAAGGATTTTGAGGGCACAATGACCTTTACCATGTAAATGTATGTACCACTTTTGCAGCTGGCTTTTGTCTTTTAAACAGAATTAACATTTTTTGTCTCCAGCATAACTGTCCTACAGGGCACAATCTTTCCTTCCATTTAGTGTGGGTGACTAGTACTTTATTGAAAATGTTTCCCCTGTCTCTGTAGTGGTAACACAATTTTCCCACCTTCAAAATATTAAACATTCCTGTATATATGCAAGTATAGATCTACCGGCTTGCTTATGGAAAAGTTCATCTTGAATAATACTATGCTGAAATATTTCTTCCAATTTCCTGAAAGTTTTCTTCTTCTTTAATAAAAAAAAAAAAAAAAGCTTCTGTTTTGTACCTCACTCTCAGATGCATTGGCATTTATTTTGATTATATTTATGAGCTTTGCTTATTGTTGTGAAGCAGTGGGAGGTACTGAGTATCATTCTGCGTGTCTCTTATCACTCTGTGGCCCCCTGGCTGTCGTCCTACTTGTTCTGAGAAATTCCTATGGGAGGAATTGCCTCTGAATGTCTTCTTCTGGGAAGTATTTGAAACAAGGGAATCCAGGGAGGCTGCAAACTACAGGAAAGATAATTTAGCATGAAAACAGGACATTCCAACACACCTCAAAAAGCAATTTCTTTCCCATTAATTTTAATGAGATCAGTAAAGAAACAGAAGAAATTTCTAACGTAGTCTTAACCACGATAATGTCTGGGAGATAGGCACTCTGTGGATGATATCTAGCCTTAATCTAGAATATATGACTAGAAATGTGTATCTTGATGTGGTTGTTTCTGTTTTACTACTGTTGCTAAGTCATTAAGCACCACTTATACACTTATACATTTGCCTGTTACTGCAAATACAAGTATTCACCATGGAATACATGTATTGTATTTTTCTAGTTATTTTACTATGTCTGCCTAGCCTCCTATGGGACTTGCTGATACAGGAAGTTCAGCTTCCAGTCAGATGCTTAGGAATGGCTTTCCTGTAGCACTTACTATGAGCTAAATATGTGTCTGTGTGAAACCATGATAATTTTGCAAACAATTTGTAGTCATGAGAATCATGCTACCCTAGCTTGTTCTGCTCTCTTCTTCTATTTTAGCAGAGTCCTAACTTTCATTCATTTATAAAAAGTGACGTTCTCACTATTCTCTCTGCCCCCCTCCCCACTTGTCTCTCTCTCTCTCTCTCAAAATTGTGTTCTGTCATTCCAGACCTAATGTTTCGCTCGTTATTACCTGCTCTGGAGTGTTTCACTTATATGCCTCTAGGCTGATGATGACAGCAATAATAATAGCAGTACATATAATTTTATCTGGCATGTTTCAGAAGTTCAAAGCACTTTTGTGATACATTTGTCTCAGCAAAGAATGAGACAAACTGCAAAATATTTAAGGTTGATTTTTTTGAATGGCGATCCATACAATAGTCACTTCTTTCATATTTCTTTTTTCTTCATGAACTGCCACCCTTTTTCTTCCTTTGTCGGCTCAGTTTTTATTCTCTGAGTTTCTTACACTGGGGCCACTGTTCATTCTTTTCCCCTTTAGTTACTGAGAAAGGAATGTACAGACGGAAAAGACAAATGTTTTATTTCTTAGTGCGTATATATTTTATCTTCCTGCCTGCACATGTGTTACTTCTGCTAATACTCACTTTATTTTTATTGTTTACTTCAGGCATCCTGCTTTATACCACATCAAACCTCATGGGGCTTGCTGTCATAGACAGGTTCAAAACTTACAGTTTCAATATGCAATATTGTACCATTGTGTTGGTACTTACAACGAGCGGGCCCCTCCTTTACTAATCCAGTTTTTTCTCCTGTTTTGTGGGAGAGGAAAACATGAAGGATAGATGACAAAACATGAGAGAAAGGGCATAGAAGTGGAAGGTGCTGTTATCTAGACCTCCTATAGAATACCATGAATGAGGCAATATGATGACATAACAAAAAGCTTTTTTGAAAACTCCTTGTATCTCACAGTGGAACCGTCAGCCCTTTGAGGTAGTCCAGACAAGAAACCGATATGATGAGTACTAATACTACTAATTCACCATTGCCCTGGCTGTGGCTCTTCCTCCTCCTGTCTCTCAAGGATATTCCGACAGACAGGAACATTCTTGCTCCTGACAGCTCCATTAGATTGATTTTGTGCCATCAAGCTGGTGACAACCCTTGGTGACCAAATAGATTTTTCTCAAGGAGAATCTGACCCCAGCCTGGTCTTTCAGGTCTTGCAGTGGTGCGCCCATTGTCACTATAATCAAGTCAATCCACCTTGCTGCTGGATGTCCTGTTCTCTTTCCTTCAACCTTTCCCATTATTACAGACTTCTCAGATACTATTTAATCTGGGCAATACACATATTGTAAAACTCCAGGCCTTATCCATCCAGTATAGAAACGTATCACAGCAGAATGACAGCGTGTGTTGTATGAATAATTTTTGAACCACAGCTGATGAGGAAATCAACATTGCCAGGGCATTTTCACACTCTAATAATCTAAATGTTGGCACAGTAATCCAAATGACAGCAAAAAAATGTATTTGAAGATGAAAACACAAGATGCATAAAAATACACAAAGTGTATAAACTTTAGGAAGTTCATTACAGCTGAGTATACTGTATCTTCAGAGCATAACTTTTAAAACAATAATGAAAAAGGAAATTGAAGGGTGAATAGTTCTGCAACTAGGCATTTTCATTTATTGTCTCTTTGTGAATAAAACATTTATATATGACAATAGAACAATATTTACAAGGACTGTTAATTTTTCTGTTCTAATTTCAAAAGTTTAATGAAATTTCTACTTACATGGACTGCTCACATTTCCATACTAATTTTAAAAGCTTAAATATTTGTCTTGGCTTAGATTGTTCTCTGTACTGAGTTTTCAGTGAATTTAAATAGTGTAGTAGAATATAATAGAAAATATTTGTGGTTAATAAGCTGCAGATCAAGCACATTTATTGGAATCCTTTTTGAAAATAGTGGTATCTACTTTTAAGTAAGCATCTATGTGATTGCAGATGTACAAAACCCCAACTAAATGTAACTTTCTTTTACTTTAGATTCTCATGATGCAGTTCTACGATTCAATTCTGCTCCAACAAAAGGGTATGAAAAAGATGTTGGAAATAAAACTACTATACGCATCATTAATTCCCAGGTAAATCTGTTGAAGATCCATAAATGTATATTATTTTCTAGTAGATTTTGACTTTTTTGTTAGCGCTATGAAACTTAATGAACCCATTTCTAAATTTGTACATGTATCTATCTGTCCCATTCTCCATACCTATACTCAACAGGATTTTTTACTACTCTATTACATAATTTTAAAATGTATCATCTAAGTTACTGTAATGGAAGGCATGTGCGAGGAGGATACTGGAATGGAGGATCAAGGCTATCACGAGGGAGGGAGTGCATTCCAGGAGAGGGTAGAGGGCAAGCGCTTTCTCAGCCCGCAGCAAGACGGTGAGAAGAAGAGGAGGCTTAGGCTAGCCTCTCCCTAGAGTCTCACAGGGTATATCCACTAGTTGCTGTAGCATAGAGTTAGCCTGGCGAGATTCTGTCTTTAAGGCGTAAGCTAATAAAGGAATTATACTGGACTGCACTGCCTCATCGTTGTTTTTGGGCGGGGCCTGACAGTTACTAGATTCTACTGTTTGAGTAACCCATATTTTATTTACTAATTAAAAATGGCTTGTTGCTCTTAGATAGTTGATAAGTATCAACCAGCATGTGCTTCATTAGCTTCAGTGTAAAGTTCTGCGGTGATTGTAAATAATAAGATTCTAGCTTCATAATATATAGGAAAGTTTTTTTAATTGTATATCCTAGGGATCACATAAAAAGACAGTGGTGGAAAAGAAAACAGGAAAGCCTTCTTCATTGGCTTTTGTTGATTTCTCTGTCCCTACCATCTTTATTGTTTCATTCTTTACAATTGTATCTTAAGTAGATAACTTCATTTTGTCTGCATTTTAAGAGTCCAAATTTGTACTTCCTAGGCAAATAATCAGGTTAGAACAGATCTTTTGGATTGTACGTTTTTCCACATATGTAATTCTCATCTTAAAAAATGCATGCAAAAATGTTTTGGAGAAAGTTGTGTTTAAAATGATGTTCGAAAGATATTCATGCAGAAGTAAATCCGAATTTTTGAAATTTAGAAATGCAGTAGGATGTGGAAATCGGATGGAATGGATGTAGAATTTAATACGTATGGTACTGGCATTGAATATTCGGACTGTTACACCATAGTAGCCAATGGAAACAAAATAAAATAGGAGTGACATAAACAAACAAAGAAGTAGAGATTGGAATGAATCTAAATGCTGTAAGGATTAGAGATTCATCTCCAAACAGAATGTACACTCTTTTTTAAAAATCTGCAGCGCCCTCTTGTGACAGATACATTGTTCACTCCGAAACAAACTTTTATTTGTAAGCATTTTGAATTTTAGTTTTCTTATCTGTGATTTGCAGCTAATAACTCCCCCACTCCTCATTCCATAATGCTGAAAAATCACTTTACATTCTTTTGCATGGGATCTCACCACTTTTTGGCATACAGGTAGTCCTCACCTACCAATCACAATTGGGACCAGCAACTCCATCACTAAACACTGCAGTCACTAAGCGAAACAGCACGTGACACACCGGACTTACAACGTCACTTCTGCTTCCGTTGTAAAGCAAATCACCACAGTCGTTAAGAGACATCACATGACTACAACTTGTGATTTTACTGCCAGCTTCTCCTTTGATTCTGCTTGTCAGAAGCCAGTTGTGAAGCACTCAAATGACGATCATGTGATTGCGGGATGCTGCAATAGTCGTAAATGCCCACTGGTTGTGAAGCACCCACATGTCAATCACATGACCACAGGAAGTTGCAATGGCCATAAATGCAAGGATTAGTTGCAAAGCTGTTTTTTTAAACCATCGTAACTCTAAATGATCACTGAACAAGGCAGTCAGAAAGCGAGGACTACCTATATTTTGCACCCTGTCCCAGTTGGCAAAGCAAGTCTGCTAATTTGCTTTTATTTGTGTGAAGAAAAGCAGAAATATAGATGCTTTTTCCATTCAATATGCTGGACAGTACCTATATTTACATAAAAACCCAGGCCAATATCATAATACTGTATCTTTGGCTGTTGTGGCTTATTAATAGCTAGTATTATTTTAACAGTGACAATTATTGATTGAAACCTACACAGAAAAATAAAACCCATTTTATCTATTCTTTATAAACAACAGCTTGCTCTTTGGTAGAGCCATTCGCACTATTATTCTCTTCCTTGAAAGTGGTATGAGAAAACTTAGCTTTTTCTCTATAATGGTATTCTATATATGGCATGTACAAGGGTACTTCAAATTTATTTCCAAAAGTGGGTGGAGGGGGCATTTAAACCTGGTGACAGAGGGTTTTTTGGTTTTTTTGAAAAAGCTAAACTGGCAGCTAATGGTAGGAGATAGAAGGAAAATAAAGTTTGGAAGATTTTTAGTAGATACTGTATGTGTCTCTTTGCATTTAACAGATTCTTACTAATCCTAACTACCATTTCGTCGATAACTCCTTGTATAAAGATGTTATTTTAGTGGCCTGGGATCCTGCTCCCTATTCTGCAAATCTGGATGTGGTAAGTCATCAGCTAATGTGTTGACACCACTGTTTAATTTCTTTATTCAAAAGAAATGAGCTTCACAGTCTTCTTCAGGGCTTTTGTCAAAACAGATCTCTGAATGTTAGGAATTGTTAAACCATTTAAAGGTGTAGATTTGAATTTTCTAAGTATTGAAAACCAGCATTGTTCTCCATATCTCATTAAAATGTATTCTCAGAGCAGAAAATTATTGACCCTAAGATCTGCCAGTACATAGTTGAACTGTAACCATCTTTAAATTTCTAGCTTTGGGGAGTTCTCTGTATTTCTAACTTTTTTATGTTCTCTGACTCATACATGCACACATACATGAACATTCTGTACTTAACCCACTATTCTCTTTCAAGGTAAGCTAAGTTTAGAAAAGGAGTAATAGTAAGCAAAAAAAAAAAAGGATGAAATAGCCAGGAAAAAAAGTAAGACATGAAATAAGAAATGAAAATGAAACAACACCATTCACTATAGCTCTCACTACTATTCTATCATCCGTTTCCACCCTGTTTCGTTCACTGCCTTGTATTCTTTAAACTTCTCCCTTCTCTTGTTTTTAGGATATTGATTCAGCCACAACTTTCTTGAACTTTCCCTTCCTCTCAGTCCATTTATTTTTCCTTCATGTATCTCTTTTATAATACAGCCCTTATTCATTCTCTCTGTTTGACCAACCCCCCTTAACATACTTCTTCTGTACTAGTCACTAACTCTTGTATTCAGTCTACCCTCATTCAGCACCAATTCATTTTTACTCTATCTCTTTTTGTTGACCATTCAGGTTACATTCAGCTTTTATGTTTTTCTTGATGTACCAACTCACACTGCCATCTCATAGCTGTCTACCACCATCACATTACTCAAAATATCTCCATCCATTTTCCCAGCTTCAGTAAACACTCCATCAAATTCATCTACTTACTCTAGTTTTTTGCCATGCATATAGAAATACATTCATTCATTCATTCAATTTGTATGGCTGCCAATCTCAAATTAATGACTCTAGGTGGTTAACAAGGTTAGAAATATCAAAACAGAAAAAACAAAAAACAACACACATAAAACAGCAATCAGGGTAAAAACAGATCCCTCAGTAACAAATAATATAACCAATGCATGGGTTCAACTCCACCTTCTGACCCCTAGGCCCAGTGACAGAATCAAGTCTTTAAGGCCTTACAGAAGGCTGACTGGGTCAGGGCCAATCCGATCTCTGGGGGTAAGATGTTCCAAAGGGTAGGCACCATGACAAAAAAGGCTCTCCTCCTGGATTCTGCCAGATGACACTTCTTAGTAGATGGAGCGTGTCTCTTCTGCCAGATCTAAGGGGCAGGGATACATAATCGGGGAGAGACAGTCCCTCAAACAACCCGGCCCCATGCCATGAAGGGTTTTATAGGTTACAACCAGCACCTTAAATTGCACCCAGAAGCAGACTGGCAACCAATGCAGCTCACAGAACAGAGGTGTAACCAATTGAGGAGCACAAATAATTGCCTACAGTGCCACATTCTGTACCAGCTATAGCTTCTAGATGCTCTTCAAGGGCAGTTCCATGTAGAATGCATTGCAGTAGTGCATTTGGGAGGTGACTAGAACACGAGTGACTGAGTAGGGCCTCTCAGTCCAGGAAAGAGAACAACTGGCACACAACATGAAGCTATGAAAGGCCCTCCTAGCCAAGGACGCCACCGGTTCCTTGAACAGGAGTTGTGAGTCCAGGAGAACTCCCAGATGTACAGTGGTTCTGTTTGGGAAGTGTGACCCCATCCAGAACTAAAGATGGAAAGTCCCTAGGACCAGGGAGCCCTAACATCCAAAGCCATTCAGTCTTCCTAGGGTTGAGCTGTTGTTCCCCATCCAGACCCCCGCAGTCTCTAGACACCAGGACAGAACCTCCATGGCCTCACTTGGATGGCCAGGGGTGGAGGTGTAAAGCTGGGTATCATCAGCATACTGATTATACTTCACCCCATGCCATCAGATAACCTCACTCAGCAGCTTCAGGTAGATGTTAAACATGAGAGGAGAGAGAACTGAGCCCTGTGGGACCTCACAGAGCAGTGGCCATGGGCTAGACCGTTCCTTCCCTATCAACACCAACTGGAATTGGCCCTGGAGAAAAGAAAAGAACCAGCACAATAAAGTACCACCCACTTCCAATCCCTGGTGCTGACCCCGAAGGATGCCAAGATCGATGGTATCGAAAACTGCCAAGAGGTCAAGAAGAGCAAGGATGGGTGCACTTTGATTAATCAAGGTTGTTAAATGGTTCTTTTTAGTACAATACAGAAGGTATAGACCAGGCTACAGCCTTGGTCATTGCTAATAGCAAGGACAGTGCTAATAAGATTTCACACATTTCGCCCAATATATACAAGAGCAACCAAAGCCACGTTTACTGGCACACTCATGCCATTTTACGCAAGCTAGTAGAGTTAATATAGACAATCCTATAATCAAACACATTGCATGTTGCTTGCATAGCACCAAGTAGGAAGTATATGAAGTACATTGGCACACACATAAAATACATCCTCTGACTCAAGTACAAATATATAGAAGACATGGGGGGGAAACACTGTAAATCCTGTTTGCCCACAAAGGTACAGGGAGGAACAGTCATAACATTTTACATTATATCTGGGATTTTAAAATGTAATCTGCCAGGCTTATTAAATAAATTTTCATCTCTTTACGATAGAGGGAGATACATATCATACATGACCAAATTGTGCAAGTTTTACATATTGCTATAACCAGTTCAGTCATAAATCAAAATCTAGAAATAAAAATGTGTAGCCCTCATAAGTACAGAGCAAATTTTGAAATGATGAGGTAAATGTCTGATTAAGCTAAACTAAGGAAAAAACAATAAAGTTACGTTTTAATCATTCTCATTTTTCTTGAATACTTTTCAGGATTCCTGTAATATTAATTCTATCATTCTGGATTCCTGAAATCCTTTACCCAAATATTCCAGATGTGTTTACAGGTAGTTCTTGGTTAACGACCACTCATTCAGTAACTGTTCGAAGTTGCGACAGCGCTGAATGAGTGGCACTTACAACTGGTCTTGAAGTTCCAGCCATTGCAGCACCCCACAGTCACAATTCGGGTGCTTGGCAACCGGCTCTCACATTCAACTGTTGTGGCATCCTGCAATCACGTTATGAACATTTGTGACCTTCTCTGCTGGCTTCCTTCAAACAAAGTCAATTGGGAAGCTAGCAGGGAAGATAGCAAGTCACTCCCAACACTTTTTCTCCCAAGGAGCCCACTAGTGCTGCAGGTGGGCATGTGTTATGGAGTATGAGATCCCTGGGATCTCATACTCCATAACACATGCCCACCTGCAGCACCCACCCACCCATACTTAGTAGCCTACACATGCATGCCCAGCTGCACCGCAACAGCCCCTCCCTACCCAGCTGTATTTGTGCAGTACCACAGTGCCCCCCCCCACCCGGCTGCATTCCATAGCACTCACCCACCGGCCGGTCTGCTTATGAGCTGCCCAGGAGTTGCAATTTCCTGCCAGCTTCCTCATTGACTTTGCTTACTGGAAGCTGGTAGGAAGTTGCAAGTCCTGGTCACGTGAGGTCCTTGCCCAATGACCCATGATCCTCGCTTAACAACGGCAATGGGGACTGCTGGGATTGCCGTCGCTAAGTGATGTGGTCATGTGACATTGCACTTTAAAACTGCATCGGTTAGCGATGGAAATTCCAGTCCCAATTACCATTGTTAAGTGAGGACTACCTGTATATAATGAAAATGCTGCAATGGGGATTAGTTATGAAAATTTAACAAACTATAAATGCCATTTTCAGGAACTGGAAATATACAAACTAATTTGTCATATTTGGACCCTTTATTATCTTACCCATTTGTAAGGTATCATTATAGAATCTTGCACCAATAGGGGAAAAAATGCTATATTCCTTTTTTTTTTTTTTTGGTAATAATTTTATTAAACTTTACAAATATGAAGAATACTAATACAAACTAAGAGAACTATAGAAAGTGAGGAAAAGAAAAGTGCAAAAGAGAAAGAAAAGAAAAAGAAGAAATATAAAAGTGACTCCCTTCCCGACAAGCACAAACACGTCCTGCAACTTAGCACCTTCTCTTGTATTTCAATTGTAAAAAAAAATCTCTTCTTCCCATAACTCATCTCTTATCAATAAACAAATTATAAAAACTCATCATTTAATTCTATTCAGCAAAAGTCCATTAAGAGCTACCAGAAATAATAATATAGATATATATATTTTAACCATAATGAAATAAATCCATTTTGTGCTCCAACTTATCACTTTCTCTAAGAGATAAAGCAAAAG